CAGATCAGTGAAGATTTAATTCTCTAATTCTGTTGAGAACAGCATCAGGGAACTCGCTGTGTCTTAGAAACGGTCCTGATAAGTGACCGCCAAAATGCCGGCTACGGGATGCTACCCCAGGGATAACTCGCGGGTAATGATAGACACTGTCAGATAGACGCGGGAGAGTCGCGGCGATATCGGGAATAGTTCGCGTGAAACTCACGAGATTTCTAGCCGTGGCTTCCAAATAGGGAGTCGATGAGACACGACGAGGAGGAATAAAAAATGAGTTAGTCTCTCGATGTGGATAAGTAAAAGTATTTTGAAGGTAAGGATTGATAACACTCGGCCCAACAGCATCGAGCAAATGTCTTGTGTTCATCCGAAGATAAGGAGGCTGCCAGCTTGCTTGACCCGAGGGAAATGTTGCCAGTCTCGCGGGATGCGGAGTATAGGGTGCAGAGGTAGGATAGAAGGCTTGGTAAATCTGGGTGTATGGAGATCGCCATGAAGGCACTGATTGGTCGAATGTTCTGTGACTGGCACGAACATTAGAAGGGTGTGTAAAGTACTGGCGATGATAGTGCGCATGTCTCGGGTGATGCTGGTACCGAGGGTGGTAGCTGGGTTCATATTCATCGTCATCATCTGGATCTTGATGAGACTTCCATCTCTTTCCACCTGTAATATTTCAACAAATTAGATTTGTTAAATAACTTTTCGTTTAGCTTGTTATTCTTTTGTGCTAGTGTTTAAATTTCGGCAACACTAGACGGAGTTAACCGATAAAAATCGATATCGGAAATCAATCGATATCATCGATATTAATCGATTTAATCCACCGATTAATATCGATAGGAATTGATAGTAATCGATAACAATCGATAAAAAATCATCATCGATTTCTATTGGTAAATCTTCGATATTAATGAAAGATACAACTTTTTTCTTTATCGATTTCTATCGATCGATATCGAAAATCGATATTCATTGATGATTGACATCGATTTCTATCGATTATTATCGATTATCGGTTGTAATTTTTTTTTCCGGGGTGGGGTTGTTAGCCCAACGCCCAACCCCCAACCTGGGGGGACAGGTGCTGCTTTTAGTCTGTCCTCTCCACTGTAACCTGCCCTGCTTGGTTGGACCTGCCAGGAGTTTATCCTTAGCTAGAATCCGTTTACACTGCTATAAAGAATGTTTTAAATTCACTAAAGATGCCAAGTTTAAAAGCGATATGTTGAAAACTAACGAGGATATAGCTCGTCAAAGTATAGCGAGTTGGAGTTAAGTCAGTGGTGCCACCACCGAATAAACATCTGTAAAATTTGGCTGGAGCAATATCTTCACTCACTTTGGACATACCGCATTTACACTTGGTCAGTTTACTAACTTAAAGAGCGCTCTTTCTAGTGGTATCGATGCATATTCGCTCACTGATCTTTATCACAACTTGAAAAAAAAAAAATACCGCGGATCGAAGGATTTATTCAAAATTGTCTCATGTGAAGATGAAGGAGTTTTCCGGATTAGCCTGTTCCAGACCTCTATTTCAATCTGCATCCATATTGCATCTCCTGTTGAGTTTTTATTAGTGAGTGTTTCGTGGCGCAGTAACAAAAACCGTCGGTTGCATCTAAGCGTGTACACGTGAGGAAAAAAGATGTTCTCATGACTCATGTTTGCACCCAATTAGAACATGTTTTGCCGCCAAATATTCGAAGTTTGGAGTTGGCGGCTGTCGTCCACTCGATTTGTTTTCGCTCAGCAAAATATTCTTTAAAGGAATTTTTTGACGTTAAGAAGGGAGAAATATGTCTTTGCTGTTGAGAAAAATGAAATATGAATGGAAGCACTGATGAAAAACATATAAACAACTTTCCTTCGGCGCGACAGTTTGCTTGACCGGCTGTCAAACTTTGGCGGCAAAACATGTCATGTCTGACACCCTATTAGAACAGGTTATTTGTCTTGTGTCCATGCTTAGATGCAACCGACGGTAGCACGTTGTTTCACCAACTAGTCCAATCAGTTGTTAATCGAAAATAATGACCTGGAATGGTTTTTCTTGCAGTTCAGTAGCGCTGAGGCAGTCTTTATTTTGTCTGCACGCTTTCTCGTTGTACGATATTCTTTCATTGTCCATTAGTGACACCTAAACCCAGTACTGACTGCATGGCAATACGGTGAAGTTCATGAAGAGTTAATTTTTTAATGGGGGTTTGCATTGTCCTAACTGTCAGATAAATCGGTTGTATGCTAAACATTATTTAGCTATGTAATAATGAAATCCTTTCTGAAGAGAAGATTATTAAAAGACAGGCAAGATATCGCATCAAAGAACGAAGTTATTTATCTTTCAATACCATGATATCGTCTTGGTGGTTCCCAGTCCCAGCCATCTCTCTCGTCGTCCTCGTCGTCTAACTCATCTTCGTACCCAGGCCGGTTTGGTGGCTCATCCTCAAATTCATATCTTCACCTAGCCTCACTATCTTCATCTTCAGCCTCGTCATCCCGAAATCTCTCCGATGGACCCCCGTATAAACCTTCTGAATCCCGAGGCCTAGGTGGCATGTCGTTATAAGACCGATACGAACCTGAAAAGTCATCCTCCGGAAACTCCTCGTCTGAAGGCTCCTCGTAATCACTTCCGGGATCATCGTAATCTTCGTCGTCGTCGTAGTCATGTGGACGGAATGATTTTTTCACTGCATTGTTTTTTTGCCTCTTGACGCATTTTTTATTTCGTGTAATCCCCGTGGAATTATGTCTACATATCCATGACGAGCTCAAAGTTGACTCTGCCTTTGCTGAGGTATTTGTTGTCTGATTTCTTGAAGTATTATATTGTCCAGGGCTTTCTAGATCGTTGTTTAGTTTGAAGAACTTCAAAAGAGATTCTCTGCCTAGTTTGTTGACTGAGCCTACAATGATGAATAGATGCTATTAGATCTCGTCCTCAGTCATTATTGCTACGTGTAAGAACATTAAGCGCTTAAGAACACTGGCCAAAACGTGTTATTTCAACTGCAAGAGTCATTAATTTTGATCCTTGACTATTCTCGTTCGTATAAAAGCCGCCGCGTGACGATTTAATCAGCGCTTCTTTAATTGTTCCACGCTTCAACACGCGTTACATGAAAGACTCTGTCGCGTTTAGAGGCTCAGTCCTGTGGAATGCAGTGACCAACAACTGTAGTGCCCTGACAAAAAACATTCCTTATCGTGATCTCAGGCTAAAGCTTAAATCTCAAGCTAATTTTAATGAATTCAGCTTTAAGATAACGTCCGCATCCACTTGTAATTTTAGAAAAGATGACTTTGTATATACTTAAATTTATGCTCATAATTTCATATTTGTAAGCGTTAATTTAGTTCAAACATTTTGTCTGTATATACCCCTAGTTTTTAGCTTTTTTTTAGTTTACTTGTAATTAGTTAATTGCAAACGACCCCACAAGCTCATGTAGCTTTAATACTCATCGTTTTAAAATAAAGGCTATCTATCTATCTATCTATCAACTAGATTACTGCGTGCTCCCTTGGAAAGCAGTCTATTGGTCCTTTAGGGTCCCCAGGGGAATTCCCTAGGCCTTTTATACGCCCTAGGAAACAAATTCGCCGTCTTCTCGCAAGTCTACTTTACAACGGGCAAGCAAGTTTCCCCACCCTCCTCCCCTTCAGCGGCGTTGGCAAATTTTCTCTATCAGCCCACCCTATGCCTTATGCAAAATTTTTCACCCATAACTTATCCATCAAAAGGCATAAGGTGGCTTTTATGCGAATGTGAATTAGTTACTATAGTTACTCCAGCTTTCGCGATGCCACATAAAGAGAGGACAAGGATTTTGATTCATCCGTCTTTTTGAGCGATTCTTTTTCAAGCTAGAAACAGCGATATTTTTACTGTGCTTACCTTTGCTTTGAGTTCTATAATAACACTCAACACATAAAACCAAAATAAGGAACGGGTACCAGAAGCGCATCCTCGGCGACACACTGACTTTGTTGTTCACTTTACATGACTCCTTAACCTAAAGCTCTCTCTTATGAACAATGAAATACTACAGAGGGATTCATCACTGCTTTAACTACATCCCTTTGAAGGATTCGAACTTTAATGATGGCTACCGTTCCAGGCCATAACTAATTCGCGTGCTAGATAAATTGACGAAATTTGACAGCATCTTATGAATTAATAATCTGGTGTTTGAGGGTCTAGAAATAAACAAGAACGCTCTTAGTAGCGTTGAGTCTCGCTTGCTTGGAGATGAGTTTTAATGTCAAAGGCCCGGTGCCGTTATACTACTTTTTCGTTTGGAATACAAAGCGAGTGTTGTATGTCATAATGTATATACTCAAAAAGTAAAAATTGCAATGAGAGACAGGCTGCACATCTTAGCCTCAAACCGTTGTTAAACCTTTGAAAACCTTTTACATATTGATATTGCTCCATTGAGGAGTACTCTTTCAGGGATTCTACACTCATATATACATAGCTTCTTTGTACCAGACCAAGATACGGCTCGGTACAGTATATGTTCAGCACAGGAAAAAAGTGTAAGTTGAACAGAACCTTATACAACACACAGTTAATTCAGTTCGTGGGTATTCCTGCTGAATTTGTTGTCCGTTTTATAAGATATCAATATCGCATGAAAGTAATGACATTTTCCATAGTTGCTTAGTATCTACTTTTAATATCTCCGTACAGTCTCAGAGTACAATGTTTAGAGTTGTACACAGCATGCATTTTAGATAGATAGATAGATAGATAGATAGATAGATAGATAG